TTGGAGCTACACGGACATGGGCATAACGGCAGTTCGGGTTAGAGCAATTTCCTTTCATGAAATGCATGCAGATGGGTGTTCTTTCGGGGGTGAGCTCATGAGAAAGATCACAAGAATCTCCACTTGGACATGATCCCGTTTGAAGGAATTCTTTGCAAATTGCAACTTTGGATGCATCATGGATATAAGGGCATTTGGGGCCCTTGGTACATGAACCTAGAAGAATGCCGTGTTAGCTGGTGTCCAAATCTGGCTCCTCGAGCAGATTTGTCCTTCAACAGGTATAATGAAGCAGGGAGAAGGGAGCTACCCGTTGTGGAGAACCTCTTGCAAGGCTCATTAATCTTCTTGACCGGACCATTTTTCCTAGTTCCCACGTTATCAGCACTCATCATAATCAAATACACTTTTGACGCGCTATAACGGCACAAGACATTTCCATACCGGTGAGCCTTGACTATTCCAGCACGATACATATTGCCATTTTTGCTTCTATAGAATCTGACACCTCCGACTAAGGCGGTTTTTGGGGTAGTTTTTGCTGCGTTGATATCACCTGAACTGTGTGAGCTAAGACCTGCTTGATGCTGTCCAACCGTATCTTCGGCGACTGGTATCTGTAATTTCTCACCAGAGACTTTCACAAGCTTGCTTCCATTTTTCGCAACCCGAAACCGAATGCCTTGAATATCAATCTCGTAGACACCAGGGATATCACTAGGACGTGAAGTAACGTTTCCAGAAGTGACAACATTACTACCGACTCGTTGTAAATGTCTATTAAGTCTTGCCCTTTCTCGTTCGTCACGTTGTTTGAGTTTCTGCATCCGCGTTTCTTCGATGGCTTTTACTCGGTGCTGACTGTTTTTCTCGAAGACAGCTGTATTGATAAGTTGCAGATGGCGATCCGTTTTCGATACCCATGCTGGACTCTGGGTCTTTGACTGGTCAGTATCTGCGTCGGCATTTTCTGGAACTTGACCTGCAGGATCCGATGTCGAGGAATTCGCGTTGTTGCCGTTCAATACAAGGGTTTTGTTCCTATGGATCTGAGACGGCCGGCCACCCCTTTGGTATCCTCTCGCGGAGTAGCTGCCACGACCGCCACGACCTCTCGACATCCATCCTGCATGTGCTTGAGAACTATCGTCAGATGTTGCGATTCGTTGAAGCTCTTGGCGTGCTGTGGCCCTACCTCCCCAACTGTTTGCATATGGACCCGGCGATGACGTTTGGCTATGCGGGCGACTCCCTGCAGATTGACTATTCTTATGTCTATTTATTTGGCCTGACGCAAAATGCATATCAGATACAATGCATGTCCCGAAGATTTAGTGGCGCAAGCTTACCAGCTAGCTGGCTAATTTTGGCTAGGATCTCTTGATCCTCAGAAGCCATAGCGAAAAGCTATTTATTAGATGTCGTTTCAAATAAGCGTTCTAAACAATAAACTTCTTTGTAAATAGAAAAAGTCCTTGTATTGGTCACGATAAAAGAAGTAGCGTAAATATTGATAGAAGTGAACGCAAGCCACATTAGAAGTTGTTAGATATCACACCAGCGGTTCGCGCTAAGCGACCCCAGGATTAGCGCCAAATTGAGGTTCAGACGTCAGCGTAGATCCTTGTCCATCTTCCAAGCTCTCCAGATACTAACATCATCGCAAGAATTCGCGACGCGGAACAGAGAAACACCATTGCCGCATTTTCTGGTTCTTGACACAATCTGTATGGAGGATCTTCGATAATTAGTGTTGTGAAAAGGAGCCATGGCAGAACCTCTCATCAAGCCAGACCCGGACGCTCCTGGCGCCTCGCCCGCCAATTTTGAAGAGGATGACATCTACGAGGATGCTGGAGACCTTGAATTCAATACGGATCCTAAATATCAAACACTATATCTGGCTCGCATCCCGAAATATTTATGGGAGGCTTGGTCGAAATTGGATGATGATGCAGAGATCAGAATTGGAACCATTAGGCAGACTACGGAGGTCACACCTGATGGACAACAAAAGGCAAGCAGTTTCCAAATCGGAGAGAATTGCAATGCTGACGCGCGCTAGACATCATTGTCAATGCTTCTTTCATCAGAGCTAGCAGAGCACCAAATGGTACCCAAGGAATATGTATTGGATGTGACAGAGGAGTCGGTCAAGAATACATTCGTTTTTACTGAGCAAGATCTTCCTGGGTTCAAGTCAAAGTCAAAGCAGAAATTCGATCCTGCTAGCGCCAATATTCCTGCTAGACTTAATCGGGACAAACAGCAAAAACCAGCGATGAAAGGCCCTTACGATCAGAATAAGCGGTTCCAGCCTTACTACAGGAAGGCAATACCAAGTAAGATGAGCTTGAGGCTAAAATGATATGAGTGTTACTAATTGTTTATAATTAGAACGGACTACGCTAGTCGGACGAATCGCTCATGAAGTTAATTGTGTTGCAGTCGAGAATGAGGAATCAGAAAGACTTCTTGCAGAGCGTACACTTGAAGCTATGAGACCAAAATTAGGCACCAAATTCTTAAACGAAGACGTTTCAAGCATTGGACATGGTTTCATCCAACCGGGTACTGTTGGTGCAATGAACACATTTGGTGGATTCATCGTAAGTGCAAACTGCTTAATCCCAAGTGCTCAACTAACAATTTACAGAAAACCAAAGGGACTGCCGCTGGAAATCGACCACAGCTCAGCAAAACTGCTCGTATGCCTCAGAACGAGCTGCTGGACAAGATTTTTGAGTGCTTCAGGAGATACAATTATTGGTCTATGAAGGCCTTACGTGCAGAGCTTCAACAACCAGAGGCTTACCTTCGCGAGACTCTGGAAAAGGTCGCAGTACTGGCAAAGAGTGGTCGCTTCGCTACACAGTGGTCTTTGAAACCGGAGAACAAGCTCGACAATTACCAAGGTGTGGGCGATGCTATTGCTCCAGTCTCTGACAATGCACCAGGAGACGAGTCTGAAATGGGGGATGATGAGGATGAGGATGAGGATATCAAATTTGAGGATGTGGTTTCCTAAACAATTTACTAATACATTATGCATGTTACGGCGTTATGGGAGATGCATATTCGGCATCCGGTAGGTGTTCTTGGGGTCTTGAAGTATGCACATATCGGTCTATACACTGGTGAGGAAGCAATACCTGGAAAACTGTGTATTACAAACAAAATAGAAAGAACAGTGGATTTGAAAATACCCGCTACAAACTTAATTACAGCCCTCTCATATATATGCGAGGGGTGCTCCATAATCTCCCTTGGAGCATTCACCTCTCATTTAGGATATTTCTACTTTATCCTTTGCCACATAACTAAGTCGTGGGATCGACCCAAGTGACACGACGACCAACGGCTAATGACTGTTTTTGCATGTCATGTATAAAGAGCAGCAGAAATTCAAAGAGAGGAGGCCTACTATAAACTTCATGTAGATCATATTAACCTTTAAAAATAGAAGCACTCTGCTTCTCCTAGATGCAACTCTCAGTAGCGACTTTGCCAGGTCTTAAAAGTCACTTCAAAAGTATCATAATGGCCAAAGAGCAAGAATCTGTCAGGATGATTGAGGATAGGTCAGGAGATTCTTCTTCTGCTGTATTAAAAGTTCAAGGTACGGGAACTCTCCAGAATATAAAGGCCTATCATTCACACACTTCTATTCCTGGAACTTTCAAACAAAGCAGTCTCCGAAAAGAGCAAGTTTTCCGCGAAGTCAGGAGTCCGTGTGTATCCGTCTTTACACCTACCTTTACACTACTGGAAACCCACCTACCGGTAGCAACGCTGAGACAATCTTCTAGCTAGGTCAATTTGGCAATGAATACGCGGATAGCAGCCAGTGGTTGTATGACTCCACCATGAATACTTCCGAGCCTTTTAATGCTCAAGACTGTAACAAGAGTATCAGCTTCTATGCTAGAGCAAGAAACTAGGATTTCTACGAAATAGTGACGGCACTTTATGTGGCACATGTTACCCTAAGCACTGACTTTCAAAGTGGTGCTAAACAGAGGATTCTCTAGTTCTAAACAACATCTACCTAATAAAAGCTAGATCGATACATATCACGGTCTCAGTCACCTGCCATATCGGCCTCCGGCACACTGACAGGGGAGGTCGACAGGGACGGCCCAGCTACCAGGGATTCCATGACTATGGCTCCCCTAAATTATGGTAGGAGGCCAGAGAACAATTTCGTAGATATCTATTGGAGGGCTCTAACTATCAACTCACTATTATATTACTACGCCCTCATTGTATTTCATTACTGACAGTACTCGGGCCAATCCCCAGTCTTCCTCCACTCCGTACAACCAACGCCCGGACACCTCCAGCGTATAGCGTATTCTCTGGAGGTACGGCATCATTCTCATAACGTGACTCATCTGAAGCCGTCAGCAACTGTACAAATATTCACTCTCGGAGTTTATAAAAGATTCCGATACCGGCTTTCGTTTTAGAGGATTTTGTGCTCTTCGTTGCTTCGAACCAGCTACTAAGCGTGCTAGGCAGGCTTATCTAGTCTGTACCGAGCTAGCTTATCAACCGATAAGCCCCTCCTTGTGATTCAGCCCATCCCACCACAGGAAGCTCATGTGCCCTTATTTCCTCATAAATCACAAATAATCATTATATATATCAGGAGATTATGAGTTGTTTGACCTCAATGTAAGACATATTGTATGACCGCGTGAGCTCTGCCCAGACACGCGGATATCGTATTCTGCATACCCCGCACCACCATCACACTCAAATACGGTCAATGTCAAGGGAGAAAAAAAGAGCCAATCGAAATCTTTGATCTTCACATAGATAAACACTTTGAATCAAGTAGGTATTTTTATTTGAACTTTTATGTGCACTAACCATCAGCTTGCTTGCTCCTCGTCTAATCGGAGACTGTAATTATGCAATGGTGGCGCTTAAGATATCATAGATATAAGATCTAAAAATCTCGAGAAAAAAAAAATGAAAAAAATGATTAAATAGTTGGCGCAATCCAGGGATCGAACCTGGGACCTCTCGCACCCTAAGCGAGAATCATACTAGTCAACGATGTTAGTCAATGATACACCAAGGCAGCTGGAGAACTTTCACTTACCCGCTAGACCAATTGCGCAATTTTTTATTTGGGGATCGATAATTAGAATATATACACTACCTATCAGAAATCTGGCGGTCTCATGCTATTACAGCACTAAGTACAGGACCTCTTTGTAGTCCAACAACATAATTGATCATGCACTTTAATCTTGTATCGTAATAGCACAATCTCGAAACCTTCGTACTTAAACACGATTCGCTACCAAAAGATCTAGTTCATAGGGACTAACATGATGCGAAAACATAGCAAAATGTCCAATGGTAAAATACAATACATTAATATTTCTTATATAACCTTGGTACACAAAGTTATGGGGATACAGGTTCAGCTCTGCTAGGCTATGGGGACAGAATCTCTGGTTTGAAGGCTGATTGTCTCTTAGCCTTGGGACCTTATTGTTTGCGGGTCCCTGTTTAAGGATAACTTATATCATAGATATCGTAAATATATATTTGTATTAAGTTATTCTATAATCAGTGAGCTTGATTGGACTCTCCTGTCACACGATCCTCTCGGCGATTCTGGGGTGGAACTCAAAGTCCCGTCTAATCTCGACTCTCGTACAAAATTAGTCTAGGCTGGATCGAACTCTAGAAGAGCAAAGCGTTCAGGGGAATTCGAAGTTCGGGTTTTCTATTCGATTGAATATCCGGTAAGGACTGCCATAAGTCGAACAGCAACAGGCTCCTGACTGAAAAACGCATCGCAGTGACACCTTCCACTGGTATCAGGGTCTACGGCACGAGTATTGGGCAAATCATATGGAACAGAGACTCAATTAATCGAGAGTATAGATGATACTATCAATTCCTAAATCCGCTTTTTCGGCGTAAATTGGGCCCGCGTCATTGTTTGTAAGATACCTGTAAACTCGATAAATGGTGATCAGTGAGTTGTGGCAAGGTTGATTCAACTTATATATACAAACACATTCAAAAATCTACATACTGATTTCTCCTGCTTCCCTCGAGTAGCAAGAGGGGACGACTAAAAATGAGAGCCAATTAAGCGAGAGGGCAAGATGCACGAGAGCAAGAGCGCCCACGATGAAGAGAGAAATCCTCACGCGGCTGAATAACGTGGTTTGTGAATTAGTTTAAGATATTTCCAAAAATTTATGCTACTATACTCACACAGATGTTTTTGTTTAAAAAGAAAAAATGATTGGCGCAATCCAGGGATCGAACCTGGGACCTCTCGCACCCTAAGCGAGAATCATACTGAATCGGAGACGTTAGCTGTTGATACACAATGACAGCTGTTGACTTTTCGCTTACCCGCTAGACCAATTGCGCTGGCTTCCTTTTCATCTCTCTTATGAGAATTGAAGTCAAAAAATGTGTAGCTCTTACTACTAGATATAGATAGGGGTGTTGTTCAGGGATGAATCCCCCGCTAGTGCTGTACGAATGCAGTACTTAACCGCTGTAGCTCCAGACACTATGTACGATGGCCACCATGGCAGCGGATGGAGTTTATCCGAGCAACAGAGGAATGGAACAACTACATTTCAGCTACACCCATATGAGAATGGATGGTGCACACGACGACGCCTCTTCGGTCCCTTTGAGCGGCACATTGTGGCAGTGAATAATGCAAGATTCCAATAGCCGACCCAGTTTGGGACCCCGAAACTACATTGTGCCTCTATACGAACGCCAACCACCTTCCAGAAGCTGAATCCAATATCGGAAACCCGCCCGCCCAGGCCTCTAGTGCTCGCCCTTACGGCCCTTAGAATTCCCATGACCCTGTGCCGTACATTGGCCTAAGGTATGGAAGGGTGCACTATCCATGGTGAGGTATATTTCCTCCAGTCGCTTCCTCCACCTCCCCTCTCCTTCGCCGCCGCAAACTGCAAGGAACCCGAGACGGACTGTGTAGGCGTGGGTTTTGATAAACGGTCCCTCCTCGAGTTGACAGATGCGGCATTTAAAAGCTCGCCGCTGCGAAGGAGAAAATGGGTTGAGACGTATCCATGCGTTCAGCGCATTTCAAGAAATGAAACCACTTTTCTGGGCAATACTCGCTTACAATACTTGATCTCTTCAGCTATGCATCACGTTTTTGACGACTGAGAGTCTGAATAACTTACAAGTGTTTGACTTATATTTATCAAGATGTAGGTTATGTCCATCTCTTAGACTAGTTCTACAAATTCTAGAATTTCCTAACATATAATCTGGTTGTAGGAGTGGCAGAAGAAGGAAAGATAGTGATCTATTGCGTGTGTCGCAGCGGTCAAATGGTCTGGCCTTCAGCCATCACCACTTCCTGTCATCCTCTATTACATCCCCGCCACAGTCACATTACACTCCCTTCATTTCTAAGATCGATGGCACAGTGACACCGCGGCTACGTGAGAAAAGGGCGACTGCACTTAGACCTGTTATGGAAAATAGAGGAGATGAGACAGTAGTGATCAAATACAGATCCTTGATTCCCCCTGCAAAGTCGTTCTCCAATTCTCTCCAGCGACGACGTAATTCCTCATCAACAGCGTCATTAAAATCATTTACCTCTTCCGTACTTAGAAGGAGAAAATATGCGGTGGCACCTAATCTTTCTACTTTACCAGTCGAGATTTTAGATGCAGTGTGCCAGCACCTCCAGCAGCCGGAGCTCCATGCTCTGATGCTAACAAATTCAAACGTCAGCGAGGTTGCAGCGTCATATCTGTATATAAAACCGCACTTTGCAAGCACCTATCGGTATGCCCAGTTTGTCTGGACTGTAAGTCACAGAGCACACTACGCCCAGATGGTACGAGAGTTGGATCTAAGCTATTGTTGGGGTCAGGGGCAAAAAGACGGAGAACTAGTACCCCTGGCAGGATGGAGGGAATTCAAATACCGAAATCATGACCTGTATCACGCAAATCGTGATAGGCTAATGATGGGTCCCATTGGTGTAAACCACCAAAGGCATCTGAGCTCTTCTCACCCCCCTGCGAGTCCTTTACTGAAAAGCTTTCACCGCACTAGAGATATTCCAGTGGGCGGACTATGCCATGTTCTAGCAGCATGTAAGGGGCTACGGTAAGCAAGGATCTTTAATATGCAATAGAACGAACATCTTATCTGACTCCGTCTCAGTAAGGTCAACTTATCCCGGGTTCAGGTAGCAACAGACTTCAGAGTCCAGCATGAAAGCCACCCTCCAACGGCATTCACAGGCCTGATATTTGTCTCGGATGTCCCAAAATCATGGACATGGCGAGCTAACGAGCTCACTACTGTCTTTGCTAATGAGATCATATTCTGGCTTATGAAACTGGAGTATCTCGAGACTCTCATTGCTCGGAATTCCCTGTGGTTGACTACAGCAGGAGTCAGTCTCATTATGACTCAATGCCAAAGTTTAAAGTACGTTGATTTCACGGCATCTGGAATGGCCATGAACGTTAGGTGGGCGACTGAAGGATCAAAATCCGAGGTGGAGAAGATTGTGAAGGAGGTGATTAAAAACACCAAAGATCGAGAACGGTTCAATGGTGGCCCCCAGATGATTGAGTAGGTCGCAACTGAGGAGTAAGGTGCAATTCTCTTTCATTTTGGAGTATTTGGCATATGGGTTATTTGGGGGTGTAATTGGTGTTATTTTCTGCAAGGTATTATATTTTGCATTGTCTATGTTGACCCCAGGTGCGCGTTCTTCATTTGGGTATGGAAAGGATGTGGTTTCTTTTCTGAAGATTTTTTGAGGAAATGCCTTTCCGCTGGAGCATGACGAGTCCATATTTACTGCTTTCTTAGCCGCCGAGCATATGGGTAAAGGATCGTGTTCATCCAAGATTTTTTTATGGGCCAGTGTAGCTACTAATGAATTTTGGTCTATAAGCTCCATCTTTCTAAAGTCAAATTATCCGATCTCAGTTGTTGCACTGTCAGAATCATGTCGATTTTTTGTGATGTTATCAAGCCATATCATACCGAGAAAGAATGCCCCTGCACTGTAAGATTGAATATAGATCCAATAATAACTTGCAGCGAAGAAATTGTACTGTACATGTGAGAGCGGAAAGGATTATGGTACTTTACAAGGCTGATGCCCCCTGTAACACTAGACCAGGTCGCTAGAGCCGCTGGCCTCAGAGCTCCCCCACATCCCACCGTCCAAACTCCTGCCCCACCTCATCTGCCTGCCTACACCACCTTCTCCGAAAGAGCTACCACTCTCAACACCACAGTTCAAGATGGTTTCTGTAAACGTAGGGAAAGCTCTCCAGGACCTCGCAGGTTCTGTGGACAAGCAACAAGGCTACACTACCCTCCTCGCAAACATCCAAATCGTCTCCACCGAAGCAACCGTTACCGACGACCTGATAGCAATCATTGACTCCATATTCGCAGAGGACTCCCTTGGAATCGTAGCCACGCGGTCTCTCCTGGCAACCTTCGTCGAAGCTCTGAATGGCATTCCCGACAATGACACGAAAATTGCCATCGGCGAGCACGCACTGTCCGTCTTGCAAGCACAAACCAGCTCTTTCGAAGAACAAAATGCTGCCATCCGAGAAGTCATGGCTACCGCACACGAAGGTAACGAGGACTTCCTCGCCTCCGCAAGAATACTAGCTGGTATACCCATCGAATCATCACAGCGGAAAGTCACGAATGAGGAAAAAGTCCGCACATGGATCCGGATTACTCGCAACTATCTCGAGGCGGAAGATCCCACGCTCGCAGAGCAATACTTGAACAAGGCAAAGAATATTATTTATACGGTTGAAGACCGAGAATTGAATCTACTGTTCAAGCTCAGTCAGGCTAGGATTCAAGACGCGAGGAGAGAGTTCCTAGCTGCCGCCCAGGGGTACCAGGATATCAGTTTCTTATCCATAATTGCGGAGGAAGAGCGATTACACACATTAAGCATGGCGATAAAATGTGCTGTCCTTGCTCCTGCAGGTCCAGCACGAAGTCGTGCACTTGCAAGGCTATACAAGGATGAGCGGTCTTCTGGATTAGAAGAATACGGGATGCTGGAGAAGATGTATCTGGATCGATTGATCTCTCCAGCCGAGGTGTCCAAGTTCGCAGAGGGACTGGCTGAGCACCAGCTTGCGAAGACATCAGATGGGTCTACGGTCCTGGCTAAAGCCGTGGTGGAGCATAATTTGAGGAGTGCCTCAAAGTTGTACAACAATATCAGCTTTGATTCGTTGGGCTTGTTGCTGGGGCTAGACGAGGAGAAAGCGGAGATTACTACGGCAAGGATGATAGAGCAGGGACGGTTAGTAGGTAGGATCGATCAGATCGAGAGGGTTATTTGGTTCGAGGGTGGAGAAGCTACGGGAGAGAAGGGAAGCGGTCGAGCTGAGAGGATCGTGGGGAAGGAGTTGAAGAGGTGGGATGCTAATGTTCAGGGATTGGCTGAGGAGGTGGAGAAGGTAACTTCGGAATTACAAGTGCAATATCCGGTGAGTACATTTATGCTCCTTTTCTTAACTGAACAGTCTAACTGATGATGTGAAATAGGAATTCGTCGCCGCTCATCTGGTAGTATGATGAAGAGAATGCTCTGAATGAAACGAATACGGGCGTTAGAGGCGGGGTTATCATTGCAAACTGGAGTTTAGGAACAGTATAATAAAGGTTAGAATCCACAATGCTTAAATTAAGCATTGAAAGTACTTTGAGCTGAGAGCTCCTGTGACTGGACTATACAATGTGATATGGAGTTTGCCCCAATCCAGTCTCAACAAACAAGCAGCAATCTTGATCCTCTTCTGTCACCCAAGCCCGACAAAGAGAGAAATATGGAGTAATTCCCTATGCAACAACTTCCTCAACAGCCTTCATCCCATCCTCCTCCTTCTCGCCGCCCTCCAACCTCCTAAGAATCTCGCCCAATTCCCCCATCGTCTGCCTGAGCCTTCCAAACGCACTATCCAGCCTCTCCTTATTCCACGCACACCGCGGACACAGCCCTTCCATCTTATGCGTGTGCAGTGGATGGCTATTCATCGTGTCGCATTCTATCGGCCATTGTCTGGTGTTGAAGGCTGCTTGGATGGGGCAGGGGAGGACTTCGGGGCCCCAGACGTGGTGGTTGCAGGTTGTGTAGATGAGGCGTCTGTGATAGCACATTTAGTATGCTTCTTGGAACTGGAATGTGGTTTTGATATTGTATGGGATGAATGGGACTAATCTCGGAAGAGATTTTCCAGGAGTTTTTGGATTTAAATATGCCTTGATTATTGGACGAGCATTGTTTGTTCGTTGCTGACTTGTGTA